ATGTTGAAATTTTCACCCTGGAAAGGGATCATACACTTTGGAAAGAAATCTAAATTAAGTCCAAGGTATATTGGGTCATTCAAGATCAGTGATCGGGTTGGTGAGGTAGCATATTGATTAGAGCTACCAGTCGAGTTCAGTGTTATTCACAACAGATACCATGTCTCGAATTTGCGGAAGTGTTTGGCCGATCCGAATTTGACTATACCTTTACTCGAAATTCACTTTGATGAAAAGTTGTGTTTTTTTCAGCTGTCACTGATCGTAAAACAAAAGTGTTGAGAAACGAAGAAATTCATTTGGTGAAAATTCAGTGGCAATTCCATAAAGGGCAAAAGGCTACCTAGGAGTTAGAATCTGTTATGAGAATGAAATATCCTCATTTGTTTGAATGGATGAATTCTAGGACGGAATTCCTTTGAGGGGAGATATTGTTATAACTGGGTAGATTTGAAAGGTTTGGGGTGGATTTTGAAATGTTGCGATAAATTGAGGGTATGTTTTGAAAAGTTGATTTAAAATCTTTAAAATCCCACCGCCTCATGTGGAGATATTTGTATAAATATATTTTTCTTTTATTTCTTTTTGGTCGGGGGATAAGAAAAGAAAGACAAAAGAAAAGTTGGTGAGTATTTCGGCCACTGGTTCGAGTAAAAAAAGGAAGAAAGGAAGAAGAAAGCTTACATGTTATTATCTGATTTTATTGTTGATAAAGTTTTACATCTAATTGTTACACAATGTGAGTTTTTATTTCAAAAACTTCATTTGATGTGCTTTCAATAAGGAACCACATGTGTTTCGAATTTGGGTGTTTTTGAACACGATTATGTGTTATTTGTTAGCATAATTTGGGTTTTGATATGTTATGATCAATTGACTGGAATAAGGGTGGCATAATCAGGAGATTCGTATATTTTGAAATAAGGGTCGCATAATCAGGAACATGGTATATTTTGAAATAAGGGTGACATAATGATAAATATGGTAAATTTGAAATGAGGGTGGCATAATTAGGAGCAGATATATTCGGATAAGGGTGACATAATCAGTAGCTCTAATGATATTATGATCATATGAGTTGTTGTGATCGTATTAGTGCGATGTGATGAGTATGTGTTATCGCATCTGTATGATGCGATGAGTTGAAGTGATCGCATCGGTGTGATGTGACAAAGTGAGTTATCGCATCAATGTGATGCGAGGAGATGGGTTTATCGCATCAGTGTGATGTGACAAAGTGGATTATTGCATCAATATGGTTCAAGGAGTTGTGTTTATCGCATCAATATGGTGCGACAAGATGGTATGATCGCATCCTTATGGTGCGACAAAAGGTGTTATCGCATTTTTTTGATGCGATGAAATAGGTGATCTCATTCTAGTGTTTATCTCACTAGACCTTATGGTCTAACCCTCTTTTGTTTTCAAAAATGTGCATTACAGGTCGAGCACATTCGGAAGGTAAAGGGAAGAGAAAGATGTGAACAGAAGTGTTATTAAAAACTTTTATGGATCAAAAACTTAATTTCATTAAACGAGCTTGGTCCTTTAAATAGGAGTAATAATCCTAATCACAATCAAATAAGGAAACATTCCTAATTACAATCAAATAAGGAAAACTCTCAAAGAAGATAAAGCTCAAGAAACAGAAAAAATAGGCGAAATAAAAGGCAAGGAAGATAAGGAAAGGATAACAACAAAATCCTTTACTCCCCCTCAAGTTGGAGCATGTAAGTCTCGAATGCCCAACTTGTCAAGTAGCTTGCGTAATTGATATGCGCCCAATGCCTTAGTGAAGATGTCAGCCACTTGTACTTTCGTGTCAATAATGAGAGGTTTGATTTCCTGTGATTCAACAAGCTCACGGACAAAGTAGCAGTCCATTTCAACGTGTTTGGTCCTTTCATGAAAACCATGATTATTAGCAATATGTCGAGCCACTTGATTGTCACAAAAAAGAGGTGTAGCGCTAGTTTGAGATGCCTGCAGAATTCCAAGTAACCAACGAACCTACAAAACTTCACTAATAGTTGTTGCCATAGCCCTATACTAGGCTTCAGCGAAAGATCTTGAGACAACTGTTTGTTTCTTTGTTTTCCAAGAGATGGGTGCTCCACCTAGGAGTAGCAAGTAACCTGAATGAGATCGTCGTGTAAAAGCACATCTAAACCAATTTGAGTCACAATAGGCTATAAGATCAAGACCTCATTCCTTTGGTAAAAAAAATCCTTGACCCGGAGTGGTCTTTAGGTAACGTAGGATTCTGGCTGCAGCATCCATTTGACATTGTCAAGGATCAGATACAAACTGACTAAGCATGTTGACTGAATAAGCAATTAGTAGCTTGGAGACAAAGCATTCTTCCAACAAGACGACGATATTGTCTGGTCTGTCATGACCTTGATCTAACTGTAAATTTTGTTCCATCGGAAACAAGCTCGGACGACATCCCATTAAACCACTGTATTCAAGAATATCAAGTGTGTACTTGCGTTGACTAAGCACAATACCATCAGGTGTACGTGCCACTTCTATTCCCAAGAAATATTTCAACGGACCCAAATCCTTAATGCTGAACTTTTGATCGAGAAAGGACTTTACTTCTTGTATCTTTGAGGCATTGTTACCGACAATAATGACATTATCAACGTAAATCAAGGCAACAACAAAGACATCATTATTGTTGAAGATGAATAAAGAGGCATCACCATGGGTTTGTCGAAATCCCAATCCATTAAGTGCCAAAGTGAACTTTTGGTACCAATTACGAGATGCCTGACGAAGGCCATAAAGAGATTTTCGCAATCTACAAACCCGTGTTTCTTCTTTTCTAAAAAACCATCTGGAATTTTCATATAGATTTATTCTTTGAGGTCGCCATGTAAGAAGGCATTATTCACATCGAGTTGATGTACAATCCAATCATTCTTGGTTGCAACAGCACGGAGTGTTCTGACTGTTACCAATTTAGCAACAGGGGCAAAAGTGTCATGAAAATCGACCCCCTCCATTTGTGTGAATCCTTTTGCAACCAATCTTGCCTTATATCTTTTGATTTCACCATCTGGTTTTTAGTTTATTTTATACACCCACTTGGAATTGATGGCTCGTTTACCCTCAGGCAAGTTTTCAAGGGTCCAGGTACCATTGTTTTCGAGGGCTTTGATTTCATCTTTCATTGTCGTAACCCATTTTTCATCTTGCATAGCCTGCTTAAAATGTTTTGGCTCACTGTTAGAGCTAATTGCAGACAAGAAAGCCTTATGTTTATCAGAAAATTTGTCATAAGAAAGATAGTGAGTTAGGGAATGTACCATCGAAGAAGCTTGATGGCTTGTGGGTCGTGCATGGTCTATCGAAGGTGGTAGCTTGACGATGAAATCTTCAAAACGTTTCGGTGGTGCTCTATTCCTTTTCTCTCTTTGAACTTGTGTAGTTATTTCTGTGTCTTGGGTCACAGGGTCGTTCACAGGATCTTCGAGTACAACTTGAGCATTTGTGGTCAACTCCTCATTAGTTTCTTCAATACTCTCCCTTGCTTCTTCAACTTCAATGCCATAATTGATATTTTTTGAGGTATGAAAGGCGTCATCAGTGGTTGCATCTTTAATTTCCCAATCATTTTCCCTTATCTCTGCACAATCTTCTTTTACTTTGTCTTTAGTCACCATAAAAGGGAACTCGTTTTCTACAAATTTTATATCCCTTGAGACAGTGATTTTGTGTGTATCAATGTCATATATACGATATCCTTTCTGTCCTTGAGGGTATCCGATGAAGACCCCAGGCCTCCCTCTCACTTCAAACTTATCTCCCTTCATTTATATGTTTCTAGCATATACCAAACAACCAAAAATCCTCATGTGGTCATATGTTGGTTTTTGCTTAAAAAGAACCTCAAAAGGAGTTTTAAAGTTTATAACTTTGGAAGGAAGTCTATTTATGATGTAAGTGGCTGTTAAGATGCAATTTCCCCAAAATTTGATGGGTAAGTTAGCCTCAAATCTTAAGGCTCTAGCTATCTCAAGAAGGTGTTTGTGTTTTCGTTCAGCGACACCATTTTGTTGCGGGGTGTTTGGGCAAGAAGTCTCAAGAATGATACCTTTGGAAGCATAAAAATCACTTATGAAGCCCAAGGTGAATTCTCCTCTGTTGTCACTCTTTATTCTTTTAACTTCTTTTCCAAATTAAGTCTTGATCATATTGCACAAGTTGATCAGATGATTGCTTGCTTCTGATATGTGTTTAAGCAAAAACACCCAAACAGCTCTACTAAAATCATCAACCACAGTCAAAAAATAGCGTGCCCCTGTGAGTGAAGGAGTTCGATAATTTACCCAGATATTACAATGAAGTAAATTAGAACATTCAATCGTTTTAATAGAACTTTTAGGAAAAGGAATTCTGGTATGTTTTGCCTTTACACACGAATCGCAAATACTATTATTTGACCTAGGAACAAGATTTTCTAAAAACTCAAAATAACGTAACTTGGAGTCTGAAGTGTGACCAAGTCTTTTGTGCCAAACTTCAATATCTGGTGCAGCCATCATTGCCATTTTCTTTTCTGCCACTGAATCCATTCGATAGAGACCACCCTTGCACTTACCCGTGCCAATCAAGTTCTTCTCGCGTAAACCCTGTATAAGACAAAAATCAGGGTAAAAAGTCACTGCACAGTTCAAATCTGTGGTTATTCGACTGACAGAGAGCAAGTTGCATTTAAAATCGGGAATGAATAACACATTCCCAATTCTAATTCCTTTTGGCAAATTGCAATTCCCTTTTCCTTTAACTGGAATGGAATCTCCGTTTGGTATGGTGACAGGTGCCTCGTGATTGCAATCTACCCTTTTTTCAAGTAGATTCAGATCACAAGTCATGTGTTCCGTAGCACCTGTATCAATAATCCATGAATTGTTGCCAACATCCTTACCAGCCATGTTACCGACGGGTCCTACACCTTCTTTGTTAGTGTTCTTGAAGTGCTTGAGTAGCTCCTAATATTGTTCGTTCGTCATGATGGATACTTGTGTGCTTTCAGTGTTGGCAAACACAGCTTTCGGTCGACCTTTTTCTTTCTTTCCTTTTCCAGGCCACCACTCGGGATAGCCAATTCGCTTCAAGCAACCATCTTTATTATGTCTCGTTCTACCACAGAAGGTACAATTTTCAACTTCATCATTGCCGTTGCATCTTGCCTCCTTCGTACCGCCTTTATTATGCTGTGGTGTTGAGTCATTGGTTCCTTCCCTTATGTTCTGAGCAAATATTTGAAAGGCAGCAGCCTCATGTATGGGTCTTCTTGTGGCCGCTATAGCTCTTTGTTGTTCATCTTCTACGACTAGATGATAAGCAGTGCCAAGCGTAGGAGTTGGTTTCGAGGCAAGAATCTGAGTCTTAATCGTTGCAAACTCATTATCAAGTCCCATCAAAAACTCGTAGAGCGTCTCCTTTTCTTTTGCTTCGTTCAGTCTTTTTCCAGCATCACATGTACACCTTCCGCAGGTGCAATAAGGTGTTGGTGACACAGTTTGTATTTTGTCCCACAGTCCTTGCATCTTGGTGTAATAGGCTGAAACAGTTTCACCGTTCTGAGCCGTGGTGGTCAAGGTCTGTTTTAGTTCATATGCTCGAGAAGCACTTTCTTTGCCAAATATTTCTTCAAGGTCGGCCCATATCTCTGCAGCAGTGTTGGCATGTTTGACGCTTGATCTGATATCCTTCTCCATGGATGTAGTCAACCATCCCTTTATCATAGCATCACATCTCATCCATAACATATATTGTGCCGATTCCTCTTCTGGCCTTTTAATTGAACCATTAACAAAACCGATTTTGTTCTTTGCAAACAAAAAATTCTTCATCTCTTGAACCCAATCTCCATAGTTGTTGTCAGAGAGAACATCGTTTACTTGCATCTGCCTTGGATAATCAGAGCAATGAAGATAATATGGAGAATTGGGATCGATGGTGTTTCCATCGTTCTTCGGTGGCGGCGCCGCGTTATCTCCGGCCATGGCGTCGTTGATGTTTGAGATGGATCAATCAATCATTGCTCTGATACCATAAAAACTTTTATGGATCGAAAACTTAATTTCATTAAACAAGCTTGGTCCTTTAAATAGGAGCAACAATCCTAATCACAATCAAATAAAGAAAAATTCCTAATTACAATCAAATAAGGAAAACTCACAAAGAAGATAAAGGTCAAGAAACGGAAAAATAGGAGAAATAAAAGGTAAGGAAGATAAGGAAAGGATAACAACAAAATCCGTTAGTTATAGATTTTTACTTGTGTTTTTTATGAACGTGGACTTTGTGGAAGCTGAGTTTATACATGAACTTGTGAAGTTGTATTATTCAAGTCATGTACTTTATGAGAAAAAATTTGTAGCTACTTTTGCTAGTAATGAGATGTATATTTGGGATCAATATGTATTATTTATATTTCATGTTATATGAAGTATGTATGTCTTATGCAAATGTGGGATGGGGTTTTACACAGCGCTATGGAAACAAAAAGGAATCCGCCAAACTGTAAGTCAAAGCTTCTACGTTCATGATATTTTCTTTGTCTGTTAACTAAATGCGTTATCTGGTCATTTCCCTTGCTAGATGAATATGGCAACGATCGAAGATCTTACCTGTTAAGAGCTATTATAAGGATGGACAAAGATTGATGATTCAAAAAGTAAAGCATTTTTATTATTGGTTGATGATAGATTGAAGGTCCTTGTTTTTTTCTTTACCAATATCAAAGTTTGGTTGTACTTGTTTTGTATTTGATGTAGGACATTGGCTTGATTGAATTAGCATTGTATTTAAAATGTGTAAATGATTTGATTATATCATATTGGATTTTGTTTGGTGTAACATTTGAGGTTTGTTTAGATCAACCATGAGATATGTTAATTTTGCATCAAAATGGTATATTTTTTCATAAATTAATCTTTAATTTATCATACATATTTTTTTTGCATAAAATATAGCATTTAAAGAATATTTTCGTTTTGTTTTATTATGTCTATCATTCATATTGTTTATTCAACAGAGAAAATAAAACTTAATCGATATTGGCGATATAGATTGTTTGATAATCTATATACCGAATTTATTGGCAAAACATTTATGAGTTATGTTTTCAAAAGGATTGGGTTTACCTTGAAAAAATATTGATTTTCCTTTTACCTTTTTTGTAATGAATGTTTTTCGTATTTTGAATATTAAAATATGCATAATACATCATAAACTAATACAATATAAAACACTATAAAATTGATAACTAAGTAAAAGCTTTTTCGCTTAATTAATTTAAACCACAAAATCATAAATAAAATAAATCATAAGCGAGTTGAGGACACAACATATTTGTACTAGATAGAATTATTGGTTCAAGCTTTTGGCTTAAAAAGTTGAATGAATCATATAGCATAATGCACGTCGAGCTTTCTATTGAGATCGATAAATAGTTCCATAATACGACACCTCATGCATGATCAAGTTAGAATTAATCGGTTGTCAAAATTCAACATCAAATAGATTATTGAATTGTTTCAGTTCTGTTGATCCCAGATCTCTCAATAACACTTATAATTTAGTTATAAATAACCAAATTATAATGATTTTATGAAGAAAGTTTAAGAAGACTCAAAATTAATATATGAATATTAAAGAACAATTTGAGCTTCAAAGGTTTTACTTTATTGATAATAAAACGTAAAACACTAAGAGGATTTTTCAC